AGGAGCAAAAAAAAAATTAAGTACATTGCATGACATAATTCCATGACCTTCTCAGAGGAAGTGCTGAAATTGAAATCTGCGCAGGTTTGGTAATCCTTCAGTAAGAAATGCATGATTCATGAAAAGTTAACAGACTATACACCTGACTTCTTGTTGTTGTTCTGATATAATCACTATATGTTTTAAAACATTCATTTCATAAAAATCATGTTTATGTCATTGAGAAAATTCAATAACTTTCCTTTCTCATCCTTTGCTTCTGGTATACTAGATAATAGCACTTTATCATCAAAATCTTCCTCTTGTCTGTGCTCACAGAGTACCAAGTCAGTTTATAACTTCTCTCTGGTGAGTACAGTGGTTTTGGTCTTCAGTTGTGTAGCACAGATTTCGTTTCATTCTTGTAACCCATTTCTGAGCAGTCTCCAACCTGACTATGCCATTTCAAATCTGAGTATAGAACAAGGTAGGAAAGCTTGTAAGTGTTGTGGAAATGACCCCAGATACTATGAAGGACACAATGCCTTTCCTGTATATACATCTAGGGATTGCATCTGCTGTTTTAAGCACCATGTTGTTCTAGATACAAAATACTTGCTTTTCGTCCCTAAATTCTTCTCAGGGGCACTGTAGTTAATATAGATTTTATGTTTTACAGAGTTTTAAAAAATTCCTGTTCCTACAAAATTGTTAAAAAAAAGTCCCTAAAGCATGGATTAAGTAAGCACAGCTTATTTCACCATCAAGATGACTGGACTTAGTCATTATTTATCATGTTATGCATTGTTGCAAACTCTATCAGCAATGATTTTATATTTTCTCCCAGATCACTTGATATAAGGGTTTCATACAAGTGTAGAGAAGCTATAGACAATGTGCACCAATCTATGGCTTGCATCAGTTTTATGGCATTCCCTTCCCTTCACCTTCCATGTCCAGACTTTGCTATCCCCAGGTCACCCTGGGCTTGACCGGAAATTTTATGCCAGTCTTTTTGTGGGTTTTGATAGAGACCTCAAAGTAAGACTGGCTTTGCTTTCAAAGAGCTTTTTAGGCAGAACACCTTATTCTTCTGCCAATGAGTTCTTGATAAAGATGCCAGAGCCCTGCCAGCTACGCTGCTGGAGGCTGACACTCCTCTGAGTGCCTTTGAACCTCCTACTTCAGGATATGCAGGTCTTACTTAAAAGAATTTCGTCTCTTCCTAAAGTCTTAGATCTGGCTACATCTCCAGTGAGTTGCTTTTTCAATACTCTTCTTTCAAGAATGATTGCTTCCACAGCACTGCTCTAATTTGCTTTTTACTAGTTGTCATGTAGCATGAGTAGAGACAAAACTGCCTGACAAGCCCTCCTGTGAAAAATGTATCGTCCTTGTGATCAGCTCAGCCATTTCTGATCATTTTCAATATTCCTACGAAGTTGGTAGCTGGGTTATGAAAGCACACAGCGTTGAAGGTC